CAAACTAAAACTACTCCAAACATTTAGCCTGAGAAAGTGTTGCTTTTATTACACATCTAAATAAGGACAGAGGATAAGGAAACAAAGAGGTTCTTTTTCTTCTATGTGAATAAGCAGGTTTTCTTCAGCTCCTCATTTATCATACCTGATGTTTTCGTTGCACCTGCGTTTAAGAATATCACAGGTGGGAGGAGTGCTCTGTGCCCACGTTCATATCTGCACCGTCCGACTGTGTGTAAACAGAAGTCAACTGATGGATTTGACTATGTAAATGGTACTCGTGGAAGCTGTTCAAGCAGACGCTTGACACTTGAGCTCGGTAATATTTGACAAAGGAGGTCATGTGCTGTTTCTGTGGCCTCGCATCTTTTTCCAGACCAGCTGGTTTTCCCTGAGATTAGGTTTCCTGCATTCCTCTCAGAGCTAGCTGTGTGTGACTTGTAGGAAAAGGACGGAACAGAACCGCTGCCATCTGGCTTCTGGAGTTTTTCTTCTTGTTTTTTTTTTTTTTTAATACTATTTTCCACATTTCTTCTGCTGTCAGTGGATTGGGTAGTAAAGCGCTGACTGTATATATTTCCCTGAGGCTGTAACCGTTAGAGCAGCATTCTTTCTGTGAACACACTCGTGCACCCATGTGTTCAGGTAGTTGTTATTCTGATGTTAGTAATGTCAGTCGTCTGTTTCTGAACTTCTGGTAATACAGAAGACTTTAGAAGAAGTCGTTTGTTGTTCCCTTTCTTTTATGTCCTCAAACTTTTCTTTTTTCTTCTCTCTCCACAGCGCCCCCACTGTCATCATTCCATCGTAGTGCACCCTTCTGCCTGCCGATCGGATCGAACTGAGGCCATGGCACTGAAGGATCGGGTGGAGGCGGTGCTCAACGTGGGTCTGCGCGTCCCCAGCATCATGCTGCTGGACGTCCTCTACCGCTGGGACGTCAGCTCCTTCTTTCAGAAGATACAGCGTTCCAGTCTCTCCAACAATCCCCTGTTCCAGTACAAGTACCTGGCCCTGTACCTGCACTACGTGGGTTAGTGTAGTCCACACACACACACACACACATACAATCACAGTTTGCTCTGGGGCAAATGCACCGCTCTTGTATTTCAGCGATGACACATTTTTGCGAGGCGTTGTCCGGGGGCAGCTACACAACAGAAGAAGAGTGAAGTGTCAGATGAGTTGTTCGTGTCCCTTCAGGGAGACTCAGTTGTTGAAACCCCCGGGTGCATTACACTTTTGGACATGTTGACACTTCATGCTCGTGTGTTGACTACAAGATGAACAAAGGAAGGGCACACGGTGGAGTTTTAATTGAACCTGAATTAATGAGCCGTCAGACCAGGCCGCGTGAAAAAGGAAGCGAGGAGAGCAAGCGGTAAAACAGAAGTAACGGTCGCCGCGCGGCGAGCCGGTTTATGGCCGTGCCTTTATCTGAGTGGGCTGTAATCAGACGTGTCTGCTGAGTCTATTTTAAACTGTCAACAACAGCTCAACGCAGCTACGGCGGAACGGAAGGAGGAACGATACTCGACAGTTAATGGACACCTGATAAACTGCACGAAGAAAAGTGAAATATACAGTAATTACTCTGAGGGGCAATTAGACAAGAACAGCCACGTATTCCACTTGGACACACTTTGATTTTATTTGACAGAAATGCTCATGTCGATGCTAAACAGGCGGTTATTAAATGCACTTACATATAATCAAATTTTGATTGCTTTTAACTCACCCCTAATGACAGTTGGAAGAACTTGAATTGAATATATATTTGACCATAATATCTTCTATCATTCAACTCTGCATTTCCACCTTTTTTTTTTTTTTTAAATATAATAGACTCAAACAAGAAGAAAAAGTGAAAGTGCGACCACTGGTGGTCGGTGTTAAAGTGTGAATGTGTGACTGTTCTCCTGCAGGTTACATCCTGAGCCTGGTTCTCCTCACTCTCCCTCGTCAGCACCTGGTCAAACTCTACCTGTACGTCCTCACCGCGCTGCTGCTCTTCGCTGGTCACCAAGTCTCAAGGTACGCAGTCTCATCACCGTTACATTTGCAGTGTTTTCATTTGACTCTCACTGCAGGTGAAACTGCATCATTTTTTCCTTTCTTTACGTTTTTATTACTGTCGACCCAGAAAAACAAAGTTTTTATTATCTTGGTGTTTAACTCTTGATTCTCTGAAATATCTGTTGAGACTGCATCCAGTTTGGGTTCTGTTTTGGACTCTAGTGTTCCATGTGACAAAAATATGATGAAATGATTGGTCAGGACGAAGAGGCAGATCTTGACCGTCCTCAGATGAACCTGAGAGAAGTCCCATAGAATTTATTAAAGGCTCTAAAGTCCAGATCCACCCTAAGTCGAGCAGTTTGAACCTTCGGCCTCAGCTTTCTTTGAATTGACTTGATGTCAAATTATTTCGTTGTAACCGTGACTGTTGTTGTTGTTGTTGTCGTCAGGGATTACGTCCGCAGTGAACTGGAGTCTGGCCACGAGGGCCCGGTCTACCTGGAGCCTCTGTCCATGAACAGGTTCACTACTGCTCTCATAGGTACGGTCATCTTAGCTTTAACGTCACACTCATGATTCTGTCTCCTCTTCTCTGTTCTGTTTTTTTTTATTCTGTCTCCTCTTCTCTGTTCTGTTTCTTCGCTGCTGTTTTACACTGTGTAATACAGTCCTGCACTAATTTTCAATTCTGTTTTTGCTTGAAAATATATTTTATGTATGAGGGTCTCTGTGGGTCAGGTGTTGCATTTAGAGCATTAGCCTTTAGCTTAAGTATAAAGAAGTTAGAGTAACACAGTGTGACAGTGATGTGATACAGCAGAGGGAAGGGAGACTAAAGTCTTTGAACCGAAACCAAAGTCTCACATACATCGAGTGAAACTGATTTTTTTTTTTTTTTTTTTTTTTTTAAATCTGTGTTTCTTCCAGGTCAGCTGGTGGTGTGCACGCTCTGCTCCTGCGTAATGCAGACCAAGAGGATCTGGCTCTTCTCCGCTCACCTCCTCCCTCTGGTGGCCAGACTGTGTCTGGTCCCACTGGAGACCATCGTCTTCATCAATAAGTTTTCCATGATCTTCACCGGCCTGGAGGTCATTTACTTCCTGGCCTCCAACTTACTGGTACCGTACAACCTGGCAAAGACGGCCTACAGGGAACTGGCTCAGGTGAGAGAACGACGCTGACGTCCCTCCTCCTCCTGCTAACGTCTTCTGTCCCCGTCTTTGTTTAACCGTGTCCCCCTCCCTCTGTTGACCAGGTGGTGGAGGTGTACGGCCTGCTGGCTCTGGGCATGTCCCTGTGGAACCAGCTGGTTCTTCCAGTTCTCTTCATGTGTTTCTGGCTGCTGCTGTTTGCTCTGCAGATCTACTCCTACTTCAGCACCAGAGACCAGCCTACCTCAAGGGAGAGGCTCCTTTTCCTCTTTCTCACCAGGTAAGACCACGGCACCAATGATAAGGAGCGGCTTGATAAGCAATACTGCCACCTAGAGTATCTGCAGATATGATTTGTTTTTTGCCCTAACCTTTCTTAAGTTGTTAATAATACTTTGTCTAGTAAAAACACAAATATTTGACCTCCTCTGCCTGCTTGTTTTTTTAACTTGTGTTTACTATTTGTTTCCACACAATATTTGAACACTGAGGTACATCTGTAAAGAGCCTGTGTTAGCATACAGGGCTACATATATGCTAACTCACTCACCACTCGTTCTGGCTACTGTTATGACACAACAGTAGGAAGTTAATCAAATTGATCATTGTTTTTTTTAACCCTCATTTCCATCAATATGACTCCGTTAGCACACACGGCTAATGGATGATGAAAATGCAATCTGGCCAAATGACGAGGATTTGATTTTTTTTCTTTCTTTTTTTTTAAACCCTCTCTCTTCCAGTGTTGCAGAGTGTTGCAGTACGCCGTACTCTCTGCTGGGTCTGGTCTTCACCGTCTCCTTCATCGCTCTGGGCGTTCTCACACTCTGCAAGTTCTACCTGCAGGGCTACAGAGCCTTCATGAACGACAACACCATGCACAGGTCAGAGATGAGGCTCTTTTTTTTTTCCGCTGATGTTTTTGAAGAATTATCTGGTTCTATAATGTTTGTGCTCTGTGGTTGCAGGGGGATGACTGAAGGCATCACGCTGCTGATCCTGGCTGTCCAGACTGGCCTCATCGAGCTGCAGGTCATCCACAGAGCCTTCCTCCTCTCCATTATCCTCTTCATCGTCGTCGCCTCAATCCTGCAGTCCATGCTGGAGATAGCAGACCCTATAGTCCTGGCCCTGGGAGCCTCCAGAGACAAGTAGGACGTTTTTCTTTCTATTAAGACAATAAAGTCTTTTATGAAATTGAAGTGGTCACCTTTCGAGCTGACGGTCGTTTGTTTCTCTCCGATCGTCCGTGGATTCACCAGGAGTCTGTGGAATCGGAGCCTGGTCGCTCTGTCTGTTCCGGCTGATCTTCCCGGCCTACATGGCCTACATGATCTGTCAGTTCTTCCACATGGACTTCTGGCTCCTCATCATCATCTCTTCATCCATCCTCACCTCACTTCAGGTAAGGCACCAGAAAAGAGTCACTGATGACCTGATGAAGTGTGGAGCGGTCAAGCCCTAAAATCTGTCACATTAACATTTTATTATTTGTTATTCTCTCTGATGAATGAATCTCTCTCTCTCTCTCTCTCTCTCTCTCTCTCTTCCTCAGGTTCTTGGCACGCTGCTCATCTACATTCTCTTCATGGTGGAAGAGTTTCGTAAAGCGCCCGTGGAAAACATGGACGAAGTCATCTACTGCGTCAACGGTACCTATCGACTGCTTGAATTCCTAGTAAGTTGTTCTCACACACACACTCACACACACACACACACACACACACAAACACGGGGGTGGGTACCCAACCTTGGCCTGGCCTCCTCTGGCGCCAGGTTGCTGTGTGCGTGGTGTGCTACGGCGTGTCGGAGACGGTGTTCGGGGAGTGGAGCGTGATGGGAAGCACCATCATCCTGGTCCACTCGTACTACAACGTGTGGCTCCGGGCCCAGCTGGGCTGGCAGAGCTTCCTGCTCCGGAGAGACGCCGTGAACAAGATCAAGAGTCTTCCCACGGCCAGCAGCGCGCAGCTGGAGCAGTACAACGACATCTGTGCCATCTGCTACCAGGTATGAGACGGGGAAAAAAAATTATTTTTTCCCCTTTACTGGAGGAAAAAAAAACACACTTGAGGCAGGGAATTATGACTTTAAAACTAGGGGTGTTAAAAAATTTTGTTACACTGAAATATTACGATATTTCGTTTCACGATACTGTAACGATATTTTAACAGGTCCCAGTCAAATATTCATTAGATTTAGATTTTCTTTCTCCTCTAGTGATTCCAAATGTAGATCCCTCTGTTCCAGTGTCAGTAACCTGATGTTCAGATGGAACAGCAGCAGAGTCTGAGACTAGGATGACAGTTTGACTACAATTAAATTATTTTTATAAAAGTCAATATATCGCCGCGTCTACAGTATCATACGATATCACAATATATCGTATCGTGATACGTATCTTATCACCAGATTCCAGCCGATACACACCGCTAATGAAAGAATTGTTTCCAAACTTCAAACTTGGTGTCATTTAAAAATCAGTCTTGAGTGATAATGCTGGTGGGCCGTAGTTGTGCGTGGACTCTAACCCAGGTGTGGCCTTGTTCTCCAGGACATGAACACGGCGGTCATCACCCCCTGCAGTCATTTCTTCCACGCTGGCTGTCTGAAGAAATGGCTCTACGTTCAAGAGACCTGTCCTCTCTGCCACTCGCAGCTCAAAAGCCAATCACCAGCCACCGCTGTCCCAGGCCAAGACGCCCCGGCGGCCAATCAGAGTCCTGCAGTGCAGGACGATGCCGCAGCCAAGAAGCCGGAAGACGGTGTTCCTCCAGGGGAGGGAGAGGAGGAGCAGGAGGGAGGAGAAGGTCCTGGAGAACCTTCCTGCCATGTGCCTGCTGCTTCACCGCACCCTGAAAAGACTGTTTCCTCGCCCTCATCCTCGCTCCCCTCTGATGGCGTCCAGAACCACCCGCCCCTGGATCCCTGCAGTATGTCCTCCTCCTCCTCCTCCTCCTCCTGCTGCTCCTCTGACAGTTCAGACACATCCTGCTCTCCTTCTCCTCTCCCTGACTCCTCCATCCATCACAACCTCTCCTCACAACTACATGTCCAGGCTGACATCACCCCTACTCACCCTCATCCTGCCCCAGACCTCCTCATGGACCTCCATCATTCATCCTCTGAGCAGTCGCCTCCTCCTCCTCCTCCTCCTCCTCTCCTGAGCAGTCTCTAAACCTCATCAGAACACAGGCAGAATCCATGCTTCACATAAAAAAAACACCGCCAGTCGCCTCGACGATGTCCTTTTTTTTCCAAATGGGTCCAAAATCCCATTGTCAGGAGGGAAGACTCGAAACAATCTTCCTTTTCAAACCAGGATAAATCGACTCCGGTTCTGATCCAAACGTGTCGCAGTTAATCTCATGCCAGCAACCCCCAAAAATTTGATGCAAAAGGAGGAGAGCGTTTATCTCTTGTCTCACATCCAGGAGATGTCACCACCTTCTTCATCATCTTCATCATCATCACTTACTGCTGCTGCTGCTCTTCCATAGACATAAGACACTATTCCTCCTCGATCTCTGGCCCCATATTTTTTTTTTTTTTTTTCAAATCCAGGACATTTCATGAGACGTTTTCTTTCGTGCGGCTTCTTTGTTTTTGCAGCTTCACACCCGCTCTGGTTCTTTTTTCTTCATGTTTGGGCCGTAGCCGTAGCCCAGCGTGTGCCATGACCTCCTGAGGAGTGGGCTGACGGACGGTACAGGACGGAGAGGTGCTTTTAACGTGGTGAAGTTTTCAACATTTCATAGATTTTTTTTTTTTTTTTTTGGTGAGGTGGTGTTTCACTGTTGTTCACAGACTGGATGTCATTTGTAGATGTTGACATGTGGACAAATTCAGTTCTAATTCACGTAGATCACATTTTCTCCATCTTTTTTTTTTTTTTTTACCTTAACGGACAGTACAGGGCTGTCACATGTTCTGGCTCAAATGTTTCCATTGATCATGTCGTAGTTCAGTCAAAAAAAAGGTCAAGTCAAGGTCAAGTCCTTGCACTTTCACGCTCCAGCTGTTGTATCCTGTAGTAAAATTATTGCCAAAACGAATGAGGACCACGGCTCTACTGTGCAGGCACAGAGGCATTATCAGCCTACAGGTGTGTTTTGGCTTTGATTTACTGCAGAAGAAGATCTGAGCTGCATCTAGAGCGCCCTCTGCTGAAGCCTAGTGGACTAACGCTCTCTGAGGCACACCAGATTTGAGTAGATATTTGAAGTTAGAATAAAACGTGGTGACAGCCCTACGACTGAATCAGTCCCACAACAGTCAGTATGGACGAAACTGAACAGGAAGTTAAATGACGAAACGCGGCCGTCCTTTGACGGGGAGTCCACGCGTCGCTGTCATCGTCTTTGACTTTCCAGCTTCACCGTCCCTCCCTTTAGGTCCAGGCCATACCAACGTTTGCCAACGAATCTCTGAGACAGTTTTCCATCGCCTTAGCCAATCCCATCCCACCAATCTTTTTATTTTTTTGTTAAAGCGACCATCATCATCATCATCCTCCCACCCTCTTCCTCCCTGTCAAATGGTACTACCAGCAAATCAAGCTACGAGCGGGCGTTTGTTTCAGCTTTATTTCACACACACGCAAACGTGCACACACTTGGATTCTGTGCTTGATAAAGGAGACGCGGGGGGAGGAGGAGGAAAAGTGTGCATGTGTGTTTTCGAAAAGTCGGAACGACTTTAAACCTGAGAATGCCCAGTCCTGATGCACGCTAATATGTCGAGCTCGCACGCCGCCACGACGACCATAGCATTTATACGTTTGTACCCAGTGTGCGCTAACCTCGCTAATGGTTTTTTTTTTTTTTTTTTTTTTTTTTGAATTTTCTTCTCTCTCTTTATAGAATTCTATCATTTCTTTTCGTGTCACATTTGCACTAATATCCTTTGTACTAGCAACGCTCCAAAGCTGTTCTGTGGCTGTCGACAACCAAATACTCACTGATGTGTTTGTGTACGAGGAAACAGACTCTGTTTGTGTGTATTGTATATAAATGTTTCTCCGTACGGCGTCCTTATCAAACCAGAGGAGTGTTGATTTGTAAAAAGAAAAAGAAAAGAAAAAAAAAAGTAATAATAATTGCAGAGGCTTGAGTTCTCCGAAGCTTCCCGGCGGGAACGACGTTCCACAACGTGAAGCTCTTTGGAGAAACCAAGCCTCCTGATCTGAGACCAGCCAGTGTTGCCGTCTCTCCCGTCCGTATGATGCATCCTCAACGCTGGTGTGATCACTCCGGTGCCCTCTACTGTTAGGAGTGGGATCAGCATGGTGCAGATGTTTCGGGGTAGGTGGCGGTCAACCCTCAGCAGTATTATTGAACCACCACCAGTTACGGTCCAGTCACTACCTGTGGCTTTGTGTTTAAAGTTGAGGAGTTTCAGCTGCAGGGCTCTGAATGAATACATGGTCAATGTAGGATCAAACCTGCGCCGTGCTGTTACTCTTTACATTTTGTTTTTTATTATTATTATTATTTTTTTTTTTTTTAGAGATGACAAGTAGAGAATGTTTGTATTTTTGAACATGTTCCTGGGAGAGGTGAACATGACGACTTCACGTGTTCTTCATTTATTTTTCAATTCTCATTTCCATTCTTTTGAGCTTTGATTTTTTTTTTTCTTCAAGCAGAGCTGTGGAAATGGTCAAGGAAGTTTGAGCAGGTTCTTTCATGTGTGAAGAGGTTTTGTTTTTTTATTTTTGTTTTTGCCATAAAACATCTGACGAATGTGTCAGAAGGTGTCCCACAAATGCTGTTGGCAGTTAAAAAAAAAAAAATTGGATCAGTGTAGACTGATTTCTTTTCTCCCTTTGTCCCAGATCTTTGCTAATACGAAGCTAACCTTTAGGAGCCGACTGTAAGACATTTGATGTCAATTCAAATTTTGCAAGACATGCTGAAAATATCATTTCAAGTGCAACGCAACATGAAGGGAAACCTTCCTTTTGGAGATGGACCCTGTGCCCACGTCGTAACAGTCTCAGCTGTTGCATCAAATCAAATGTCTTTTTTTTTTACTCTGCCCCCTGCAGTAGCTGACAACCCGCAAGGGACCTCGCCCCCAGCTTTGAGAACCACCACCAACAGGTATCTGTTAAAATGTGTACCACTGACCTAACAAACACTTATGTTTAAATGGCGTACACTTGAGTGTCTTATAGGGAACTGGTTCATGTTGCACAGCACTTGTAAAGACATTTTGAGTAATTGTGTTCAAAAGTTTGCTTTTTTGGAGCAGCCAGGTTGCTTTCGCTATGATCTCTGACAGGTGGGAAAACCGTCGTCTTCGACTGCTATAAATATTATTTTTCTAATGAATATTTGTCTTTGACGGTTGTGTTAAAGTCCAATGTTTAATATCCTGTGGAACTGGTATTAAACATTAGAAAATGTTTCTTTAAAATTTTTTTTTTAAACTTTAAATATTCAAGTTACATCTGCTGACGTTTTATTTGAAAACGTTTGATTTACAATTTTGTTTTTGGTCTTTTTTTTTTTTAATACAAACTAAGGAGCACTGCTGTCTTTAATTATTGTTTAACTCACAAAAATCTGGGTGTTTCCTTTTTTTTTTTTTTTTTAAATAAACCCTGATCGTGACTCGTCCTGCTCAAACTGAATTTAAATGATAATCTTGTTGGCTTTTTTTCTCTCTCTCTCTCACACACACACACACAATAAGGAGCTGTTGTGTAAAAACCAGACTGAAGAATGAAGTTGTATATTCTGCTCCACGGTTGGTTTGGATTTTTTATGCCTGGCATTGCCTTGGTTAGTTTACACAAATTGAATGTCAGAAATAAAATGAACCATCCACTCTGGTCTGTGCATTTGTTGAGTTTTTATTGCAGTTCAAAGGGTGGAATTCAGTAGAAAAAAAATAAACCTTTCAAAGGGTGGAATTCAGTAGAAAAAAATAAACCTACCCTTATGAACCACCGTCACAGGTGTAGCTGAGAGGACGGCTGCGTTCCGTTGAGCTCCATCCGTTTCAGGTGTGTTCGCGGCTTTAGCGTGGCCGCTCATGACGTCAGAATGGCCGCTACGCAGAGAGAACGACAGTCAAAGAACATTATCTTAAAAAAAAAAAAACTTTACATTTTTGTGCTTTTGTAGTATTGCAGGCCAACCACTGGATGGCGCTGTTGGATTGTTATCTTTTTAAATCAACCGTTCGCCGCTTCTGTGGACAGACGAAGCCGGGAGCTACACTGAGGTTAGCATTTGATATTTTCTTCATACTTTCTCTATTTTTTCCGGTAAATGTGAACTTTAACTGGAGCAAAACTTAAAAATATATTTTGTATAGAACTGTTAAATAATTATAATTTGGACTTTTGTTGCTTTTGTTGAAGAGAAATGAAATATCAGCAAATTACCGAGTGACCAAAAGTAAAGTAGCTTTTAGTCATGACGTTTTTACTGGTGGTAAAGATAACGTCCACGAACAACGTTAGCAACAGATAAATGTGTTTATATAAACAATAACAAACGTTAGTGTTTACAACCTGAAACCCAAATTTATTTTTTAAATAAAAACACAGAAATAATACCTGCAAATGAACTCTAAATGAACTGCTGTGACTGAAACAGGAAGTAGAATTCCCTCCTGCCGTTCTGGAGGTTCTGGGTTCAATCCCAGGTCTCGGTGTGTCGACTCCTTATGTTCAACAACTCTATTGAAGATTAGAGATTCTAAAGGTTTTTTTTTCTTTTTATTTGTATAGAACAACGTTTTAAATAATGTTTTTATAGACATTAAAATAGAAAAACTAGGAATAAAAAAGGTTAAATTCCAGCCTCAAAAACATCAAATTTATTCTGTTTACATTCAAAAATTATCCTGAAAAGTTTCTTTTACAGCTTCAAAATCACTGCGTAAAAAATATATTTTTTATTATTTATTACAGTCGAGGGGCTAAATGTCCTTCTTCAACTGATTTATAGATGTGTTAACGGACACATCTTTAACCCAACAGTTCTGTTTTGTATCTAACAAGGAGTAAAGTCGGTGTTTTTTTTTTTTTCTTTCTCCGCTGTGGAGTCGACCCACACTGTCAGGAATTAACTGGCACATTCACACACTTTGAAGCGGCTCAGATCGATCAGCTGCTCCATTCACACCTTTCCTCCCGGAGCTGTGAACTGGCTTCAGTCCTGCACCAGTCGCTGCTTCGCTTCTTCTTTTTCTTCTTCTTCTTCTTCTTGTGAGCAGCGGGGAAAAAGTGGAGCATGAAAAGAACGGCTTCTTCTGGAGGAGAATCAAGGTCAGCAGCGATTTTCAATCACCTCCGGGATTTAAAGGCTGGATCTGCTGCCTCCTGCTGTCAATCATTTCCTCTACACCACACTGGATTTTCTGGTTTTTTCCCACCACCACCTATGTTTAAACCAGAACCGGGGGTTCTCAACCTCTGGGATGCGGACCAGCACCAGGCCGCACAAGAAGATTGACCTTAACCTTAACTTCCACCCGCTCCTCATCGCAAAACGAGTAAAAACAAACGAAAGCCATAACACCACTAAAACTACAGTTACTGTAGTACAGTTACTGTAGTACAGTTACTGTAGTACAGTTTTAAAGATCAGTGAGTTTTTAAAGTCTTTAAACTCATTCACCCAACATGTTGGTGCCACCTGTGGCTCCTGAGCCACACTTTTAGCCTCTTTAGCTTCTTAGCAGTCACTCCCAAACAGTCCAATAATCTGTGAAGTATTTAAAGTAAAAAAAAAGCAAGAAGTACTGCATATGTATTTCACAAACATTCACACCCGTCGCACCAAATTGTTAGCTTGCTTGCTAACAGCAAACAGCCTAGTGTCATCCAAATTGTTAGCTTGCTTGCTAACAGCGAACAGCCTAGTGTCACTAAAAACTCCAGCTCAGGTAAAGCATCAATGTTGACTTTAGATCATTGTACTACATTGTGTCGTACTAAGTAGTAGTATCGAGTACTATTACGTTGGAATTGATCGTTGCCTAAATGTAGAAATGTACATCTTGTGTTTTTTTTTTATCGAGTACTATTACTTTGGAATTGATTGTTGTCTGAATGTAGAAATTTACATCTTGTTTTTTGGTTTTTTTTCCGGTTGAACTGCAGTTTTAACAATAATACTTTATCAACAGGTTTATTTTTACACACCCTATAAATCTGTAGTATTACTACAGTACTTAATACTTCATGTACTGCGATACCTACATCATTCATTGTGAATGGTCCAAGTTGTTGTTTTTGTTTTGCGGCTGTCGGTGAATTTATTTGCTGGTAAATTTTTTTTTTTACAAACTGTTCTCCTGGTGTCGAAGGTCACGACCCCTGCTTTAACCTCTCCCTCAGTCTCTCCCCGTGTGTCTGTGTCTCTCTCTCCCTCTCTCCCTCTCCCGTCTGCCGTATACGTGAGCGTGATAAATAGTTTGAAATAACAGATGGCGCTGCAGCCAGAGACAAAGCAGTGAAATCTGGCAGCAATTATCCTCAATTACGTCTCATTGTTATTTTGAGCTAATTATTGTTATTGTCACTTTTAGTTTTGCGCGTCTCGTTGCGGCGCGGGGCCCGCAATAATGCGCGCCCGTCCGGGAGACAATGGAGAGCAGGGCCGTGCTGTGGGGATGAAATACGGCCTTTTGTCACGGCTGAACCGGAGCTGTTGACTTTAAATAAAACTCACATCTGAACGAACGCGACCGGAGAGTCTGACGGCGGCTTCGAGTGGAGCGCGGAAAACGCGTCAGAGGCTGAAGAGTTTTTAGGGTTGTTTTTTTTCTCTTTTCTTCATGGTTTGGTTTGTTTGAGTTTTAAACTTTTTTTTTAAAACATCTGAAAACAACATTTAGTAAATAAGATGTGACTCGGAGCAGAAAACGGAGCAGAAAGACGCGGCCGCGGCGGCGGAGGAGGAGGAGAGACTGACGCATCTGTCGCTCCTGCCTCAGACCTGACTCCACTCTCCTCCTCTTTGTTTGGGGGCGTCTCCCCTCTCCTATCCTCTCCTCCTCCTCCTCCTCCTCCTCCTCCTCCCCAGGTCCCCTCCCCTCTTTTTTCCCTTCCCATCCTTGCTTCTACTCTCCCCCACCTCCACCCTCAGGCGGGAGAAGCCCGTGTTTGGTTCTCGGAGACTCAGTCGCTCCTTTGGGAAGGAGTCACTTCGCGTTTTCCTCAGAGAGACAGAGAGTCAGGCAGGGAGGAGCAGAGCGGAGGAGCTCAGCACAGTGAGGAGAAGCTCGGGAATCACCGGCCCGCAGGACGCAGCGCTGCCCCGGACCTCAGTCCGCAAAGTCGCCCCGCATCAAACCGCAGCAGAACCAGAGTGAAGGGAGGAGGACGGTGAAGGACCGGAGGCAGAAATCCGTGTCAGATGATGGTGTTGACATCTGATCCAGGCGCCAGTTGATCTCCTTCTCTCCGTCTTCTCCTCTGTGACAGCTTCAACTGTCCGTGGATCTCCGTGCGCAACCGGACTCACTTTTCCTGCGCCGTTTGGATCCAGACCGCGTCCCGGAGCGATTTACAGCCGCGGCTTTTTTTTACCTGACAGATTCATCGGATTAGTAAATGCAGTTGTGATTTTTTTAAATTTTTTTTTTATTAAAAAATCATCCTTGGGACCGAAGGAATTAAGAGTTAATTTGTGCTGAAGTTGAACCGCAGCGGAGCGCGCAAAAACACCTTGACTTCGTGGCTTCGAGTTGAAGGAGGTGAAACATCCGGAGAACAACTGCGAAGCGAGGAGAAACATTTAAAGAAAAAAGAAAATATTCTTAACAACCAGCACAGAGACTTTGGTTCCGGAGGTTTTGTTCATGTTCGGGATCCAGGAGAGCATCCAGCGGAGCGGCAGTAGCCTGAAGGAGGAGCCGCTGGGAGGCATGAACGCTGTCCGGGGATGGATGCAGGGGGGCGGCGTGCTGGACGCCAACACAGCCGCCCAAAGGTGAGCTCCAGGGGAGAAACCGAGTAGTCCACACCAGGGTCCGGGGGTCCGGGGGTCTCGTGTCGTCCTCCTTCCACACTGACACTGGTTCGTGGAAGGAGCGGACACACGTGTGCGTGGAGTTGATGGAGAGGAACGGGAGAAAAAGCTGGAGCTGCTGAAATTCTGATTTACTGATTTTTTTTTTAAAATTAAGAAAAAACATTTTAGCAAATAATGCGTAATTTCTAAGACACTGTTTGTGTCAAATATCCACGAAAAACGTTCGATTTGATCCAGAATTGATCCGTTTTTTTGTGCGTGAAAAAATAAAGAAATAAAAAAATAATGTTCTAACAGATTTGAAAAAGAAGATAATAATTTCTTCATACTTTGTGAACAATGTCACGGAGCTGTTTGTAGTCGGATTAAATGATCGGTTATGTAACACTGGGTGAATATCGATTTTTAGAGAGATTATACAGAATGCGCTCCGAAATGGATAAATCTGACTTAAAATTCCAGGAAAACTTTACTTTATAAACATTTAAAATTTAAAAAAACCTCATCAACAGAAATTCAAATTCAAAATTTCACACACTTTAAAAAAAAAAAAAAAAACATGAAGTGAAAAAACGTCCACTTTTCCAACACCGACTCTCCCCCCGCCTCTGTGTCCGCAGTGGAGTGGGTCTGGCCCGGGCTCACTTCGAGAAGCAGCCGCCCTCCAACCTGCGGAAGTCCAACTTCTTCCACTTCGTCCTGGCGCTGTACGACCGCCAGGGTCAGCCCGTGGAGATCGAGAGGACCAACTTTGTGGACTTCATCGAGAAGGAGAAGGTCGGTGCAGAAAACACTTCTTTTAATATGGCTTTTTATTTTTTATTTTTTAACATTTACTGTAAAAAAATGACTGAAAACCTGGTTTCATCAAAAGGCCCTGGTTTTCTACTGACACTGACGGAAATGTTTATTTATTCCGATTATAATAATAATAATTATTTTTATTATTGTACTTCCGGTCCAATTCGAATCTTTTGCTTATTTTATTTCTAGGATTTTTTTTCTCTTCTTCACTTGTTAAAATTTACAGCTTCATCCCAAAAAAAAAAAAAAAAAACCACCAACCCACTTGTTCTCCACAAACATCGTCGTGACCACGAATCTGCTCATCAATTATGACACAGTTTGAAATTAGGAGGAAATGGGGGGTGCGGGGGGGGGGAGAGTTTATTTACCCTCCAAACATAACCAGTAATTACAGAGGAATTAAGAGGAGATGAAGCCGCAGCTACAGCGTGATTACAGGCAGAGACGTGGATTTATGAGACGTCCAAACACCTACCAGTCCATGTCCTTATTGTCCTGATGTGGCAGAAAAAAGTCACGTGTTTTATTTTTATTTTTATTATTTTTTATTTGATGAAAAACCAAATGTTTTTTTGTGTCAGAGTGAGAAGCTCAGTGTTTGTCGTCTTTGTTAAGGAGATGAGCGGAGAGAAGACAAATAACGGGATTCATTACCGGCTGCAGCTTCTCTACAGTAACGGTGAGTGGATGTGACATCACAGAAAAAAAAAAAAAAATTAAAAACACACATTAGTACAGTCTTACAGTATTTGTAGTTATTTATTTATTTAGAGTTTTCTGCTTGAAAAGAAATGAAGGCCAACATTTAATTTTTTTTATTTTTAATGAAATTAAATTGAAAAAAAAAAAAGATTTTTTTTTCATTTTATCCAGTGATACAAAGCAGCTGTGACAGGACGTGATGTGGTTTGTTCAGTGTCACTTCATGTTCCAAAAGTGGGGAAACACTGTGGTTTAGTCGTTCTCAAAGTCTGGCTTGTGACCCCCAGTAAGGCTCGTAGAGATTTTAACACGGGGTCGTGGAATTAATTTTTATGGAATTCTCCACCGTCTTACAGATTATTATTATTATTATTAGATCATAATGGAAATAATAATTTCCCAATTAAATTACAAAAATGTATTTATTACAAAAAAAGTTACATGTTTGAACCGACAGGAAGTGAGAAATTATAGTTTTAATTTGAATTTTCCAAATCTTTTAGTTCTTATTTTCTTTTTTAAATTTGACTTTTTTTTATAAACTTTTTTTTGCCACAGTTTAATTTGAATAAAACAATGATTTTCTCATGAAGTCAGTGATGTTGACAACCAATCAATGACATCATAAACACCACAGTCACTGCAGTCGCACAGACGCTGAATATAGGGGTTTTTTTTTTTTGTCTTCGTTGTTTTTATTGTTGTTATTGTTATTGTTGTTTATCCTGCGATTGTTCCTGACTCTGGGGACGGACGTTTGAAAAGTGTCATGTGACTCTGAGCAGACGAGTTGAACAAAGACTGTTAAGAAAAGAACGGATTCCAAATTGATTTTCTTTTTCTCTTAAATAATTCTATATTGAAGAGAGGCGGCAGAACGGTAACCGTGGTGCTGTGGCTCAGTGGGCGGCGACACAGGGGTCACATCTGACAGCCAGTACTAACCAGAGTCTGTTCTTTTGGGATGTTCTATGTAGAAAATGTAGGAATAAAAATCCATCTTCAGAGACTTCGGTCTGTGTGTTGACGTGAGGAGACGGAGATCCATCAGGTCACGTGTGTTCAGGTGTAGAATCTGGACAGAACCGACCTTTCTGGAAGGTTCCGTGGCCCCTGCGTCACAGACTGGTGGAGAGTTAAAAAAAATATCTGCAGATTTTTTTTTATTATATATTTTTTTCATGAGATCCAAATAGTTTCTCAGCTTTAAATGTTGCTGATGTTTGACAGAGTGAGCTGAAATCTGCTGGTGGTTCAGATCAGTGTTCTGGACCCACGGAGAGAGAGAGAGACACTGAGTGTGAGTGTGAGAGAGAGAGAGAGGAGGAGAAGTCGTGTGAGTGAGTGAGAGAGAGAGAGAGGAAGTTGAATGGTTTCTGTAGCAGTGATTTACAGTTCTCACCATGTTGTTTTAACACTACATTTAAAGCTGTTTTCTGATTAAAAATAAATAATAATTGGACTTTTCACATTGATGTCAAACTTCATTTTATATATAAATATTTTATTTTGTATTTTTATTTTTTGTTCCTTCAAATACATCTTTGAAAGTTAATGCCTTTCCTTCCTTTTTGTCACCGCTCCAACAGGCATCAGGACAGAGCAGGACTTGTACGTTCGACTCATCGACTCCATGACTAAACAGGTAAACTCGCCATTGTTTCCCCGAGCTTTTTCTTAATGCGTTTGTTTCGAAACGATTTCATTGGACTCCTTTGATGTTCTCTATGGCTCCTTTGATGTGTTTTTTACAAGATTGATCATTGTCTTTAGGTCGTGTCATTGTCATCGTTTAGTCGCGTTGCTTCTCGTCTTGTCTTACTGCCGCTGAGGTTCTACTAAAATAAGACAACAAATCATTTATTGAAGTCCTTTGATATATAATTTTTTTTGTCCACAAATTGTGTCAGGGTATAAATTTGTGGTACTTTATAGTCTCTGGGTCTGGTGGGTTTCATTAGGGATTCCCACACGGATTCCTTTGATGTGATCAAGTCCGTGTGTTGTGTCATTGTCACCAAGATGTTGACGTGGTGAGTTGGTGCTCAGATTCAAATCTATGGATTTCAGTAGGAACGTTCTAGTCCTCTAGTCCACTAACTCCTTTCAGGTGGTCCGTGACAGCTTTAATGTTCTATATGAGACTCTTCTTTGTCTGTTGGTTATGTCATTGTCAATTAGTTTTTGACGTTAGTTTGAGTTAGTTCTCAGACCGTAAAAAAAACAACAACAACAGTTTTCAATAGGAAGTCTGCAGGCCCGGCTTTGATTCCTCTGATGTGGCTTGTGACTCCTCTGATGTTTTCTCTGAGGCTTTTGGCTGTCAATCGGTTTTTGTTGTTGCCCCGTAGTCTGCGCTGGAGAACTGTGTTAGGTTTCAATAGAGTCCGGGCATTTAGTCCTTTGATGTGTTTGCTGAGGTTCACCAGTGTCTGTGAGTTTAACCAACATCATAAATCATCCGCTAAATCTTTAATCTGCGAAAAAAAAAACCTCTCACCCAGTGAGGACCTGCGACGAAGTCCCCACAAGGACGAGCGTCCCCAGAACTCTGGTCGTTTTACCAAATAGGTCCCCACTGGTACAGCTCGCCCAGACACACACACACACACCCCTCTCCTGTTACTCCTCTGACAATACACTGCTCCACTGATCTGCCTCTTCCTCCGTCAGCACACAAAAAAAGGAGTGTTTACGTGTGTGTGATTCTGTGGGTGGGCGTTTCCACACAACACACACACACATATATATATATGTATATATATTTATATATCTGTGTGTGGGGGAGGGGGAGGAGCGGGGGGGCAGACTCCAGGCCATTTTTATTTATTTATTTATTTATTTGCCTCCACCTCTGAGGCTGTGATTAGAGCGAGGAGAGAGGAGGTGTAACACCACCTGTGTGTGTGTGTGTGTGTGTGTGACAGCCAATCACACACACACACTGTACTTTTTTGTAAGGACAGTTTTTATAACTTGTGTTTTTTCCGTGAAGATTCTCGTTGAAAAATCCTAATCTGGAAATGTCAAAGTAAAAAAAAAAAAAAAAAACATTTTTGAAGATAATCCAGTTTCCTCCCACACAGATCTGGATTATTGTTCACTCTAAGACGACCACAGGTGTGAATGTGTGTGTGAATGAACGACCCTCTAAAGCAGGGAGACCCCCTGACGTACAGTGATGTTCCTTTCCTCATCTGTCTGTCCTTATTTTTATTTGATTAATTTAACATTGTTTTTGTATTTTTGTTGTTTTTTTTTTAAGAAAAACTTTGTTTGAACTAAACCAAAGTGTCAAAGGTCAGTATGTAATGTTAGAAAAGAATCTGATGTTTTTATCATGTCCCCCTGGTCCCTGGACCAGTACTGGTCCAGGGGTCATTTGGCAGCAGTAGGACCCAGTCACTGACCTCCACCAATCAAAGATAATCTGGAAATATTTCAAAATAAAACGTCACTAACATTTAACGAAAATTGAAAATGTAACGATCCATAAAACGACCCTCACACCAAGGGCACGGTGTAAAAGGTCAGCAGTAATGGCTGATACTGACGAAAAAGGTTAGGGACCGTCGCTGTAAAGAAGAAACAAAAGAGTAAAAAAAAAAATTTCTCCTTTAAAAAAAATCATTTACCAAACTCCAACATGTTGTGACACAGACAGACTCATTATTAAGGCACCGCTTCAGTTCTGTCCCATTATCTCTGTGGATTTATCAGCCCCTCAGAGACGGCCCCTCCACGACCATCCCACGTAACCACACCCCCAGCCTCACCCACTGAGCCGCTGCGTTTAAACCCTATTTATAATCCAGCGCGGCTCCGAGAGTCCGGGACAGATGCACCATGGGAACTGCGCTGCTCATTTTTGAATGCTAACAAATGACGTGGTCACACGGAGTTCAGGTACTAATAGCCAGAGCTGATGAGACTCATTTGTCTGAGGAAATGGACAGAAACCCCCCAGAGATGTGGTACAGTTTTTAGTCGGGACCAATGAAGGAATTCCTCGGAGAGGAAAAGAAAAATGCCGTGAGATGAAGGGAGCTAACGAAGCAGCAGGTTGATGAGGAGTGAGGAGTTCTTCATCAACTGTGGACTGGATTTAAAAAAAAAGGGGAAAATAAATTCACAAAGTTTGCTGTTTTTAAAGAAATCATACGAGGCTAGGCTACATGCTAACGCTGCAAGACCTCGCACCGGCGTGAGAATGTGAGGCGTTCGAGTGCCTTTAGCCAAATAAGATAAAAAAGGATGGAACCCTGCAGACAGACAGACAGAGAGACAGACAGAGAGACAGACAGACAGAGAGACAGACAGAGA